CTTTCTCAAGATTGCTGTGACTATTCAGGGTCTTTCATGGTTCCACATAAATTTTAGGATTATTTATTCTAGCTCTGTAAAAAATGCCAGTGGTATTTTGATAGGGATTGCATTGAATCTATAGATTGCTTTAGGTAACATGGACATTTTAACTATATTAATTCTTCCTATCCATGAACATGGTATATGCTTCCATTTATTTGTATCTTCTTTAATTTCTCTCTTCAAAGTCTTAAAATTTTCTGAGTACAGGTCTTTTACTTCCTTGGTTAAATTTATTCCTAGGTTTTTTTTTGGTTTTTTTAATGCAATTGTAAATGGGGTTGTTTTCTTAATTTCTCTTTCTGGTTGTTTGTTATTGGTGTATAAAAATGCAACTAATTTCTAAATATTAATTTTGTATCCTACTTTATTAAATTCATTTATCAGTTCTGATCGTTTTTTGGTGGAATCTTTTGGGTTCTCTCTATATAGTATGCCATTTGCAAATAATGACAGTTTTATTTCTTCCTTTCCCATTTGGATGTTCTTTCTTTATTTTTTTTGTCTGATTGCTGTGTCTAGGACTTCCAGAACTATGTTGAATAAAAGTGGTGGAAGTGGGCATCCTTGTTTTGTTCCTGATCTTAAGGAGAATGCTTTTAGCTTTTCCCCATTGAGTATGATATTAGCTGTGGGTTTGTCATATATGGCCTTTATTATTTTGAGATATGTTCCCTCTATTCCCACTTTGCTGAGAGTTTTTATCATAAATGGATTCTGGATTTTGTCAAATGCTTTTACTGTATCTATTGATATTACCATATGATTTTTATTTTCATTTTGTTTATGTGGTGTATTATATTAATTGATTTGTGGGTATTGAACCAACCTTGCATACTAGGAATGCATTCCAGTTGATTGTGGTATATGATCATTTTAATGTATTGCTGAATTTGGTTTCTAAGATTTTGTTGAGGATTTTTAAGTCTGTTCATCAGGGATATCAGCCTATAGCTTTTTTGTGTGTGTGTGCTGTCTTTGTCTGGTTTTGGAACCAGGGTAATGGTGGCCTCATAAAATGAGCTTGGGAGCTTTCCCTTCCCTTGAATTTTTGGAATAGTTTGAGAAGAATAGGTGTTCATTCTTTTTTGAATGTTTGGTAAAATTCACCTGTGAAGTCATCTGGTCCAGGACTTTTGTTTGTTGGGAGCTTACAGATAACTGATTGGATTTCGTTAATTATAATTGGTCTGTTCAAATTTTCTGTTTCTTGATTCAGCCTTGGAAGATTATATGCTTCTAAGAGTTTATCCATTTCACCCAGATTGTCCAATTTGTTGGTGTATAATTGCTCATAGTATTTTCTTAAAATTTTTTTGTATTTCTGTGGGGTCCATTGTCACTTCTCTTTCATTTCTGATTTTATTTGGGTCCTCTCTTTTTTTCTTGTTATCTTTTCAAAAAAACAACTCTTGGTTTCTTTGATCTTTTGTACTGTATTTCATTTATTTCCACTCCAATCTTTATTATTTTCTTCCTTGTACTCACTTTGGGCTTTGTTTGCTGTTCTTTTTCCAAATACCATAGGTGTAAAGTTAGATTGTTTATTTGAGATTTTTCTTGTTCCTTTAGGTAGGCCTGCATTGCTGTAAATCTCCCTCTCAGGACTGCCTTTGCTGTGTCTCATAGATTTTGGGTCATTGTGTTTTCATTTTCATCTATCTCAAGGTATCTTTTGATTTCTTCCGTGAGCTCACTGTTGACCCATTCATTATTTAGTAGCATGTCATTTAGCCTCCAAGTGTTTATGTATTTTTCAGTTTTTTTCTTGTAATTTATTTCTAGTTTCATACCATTGTGATCAGAGAAGACACTTGCTATGATTTCAATCTGCTTAAATTTATTGAGACTTGTTTTGTGGCCTAACATGTGGTCTATCTTGGAAAATGTTCCATGTGCACTTGAGAAGAATGTATAGTCTGCTGCTTTGGGGTGAAATGGTCTAAAAATAGTAATTAAATCCATCTGGTCCAGTGTGTTATTTAAGGTTGTTTCCTTGTTGATTTTCTGCCTGGAAGATCTGTTCATTGGTATCAATGGGGTGTTTAGGTCCTCTACTATGATTGTGTTATTGTTGATTCTCCCTTTACATCATTCAATATTTGTTTTATATATTTAGGTGCTCCTGTGTTGGGTGCATAGATGTTTACTAGGTTATGTCCTCTTGTTGACTTGATAAGCAACACATTCTTAAGTAATAGATCAAAGAATGGGAACTAGTGTTAGAAAACACTTAGAGATGATTGGAAACAAAAACATAACATACCAAAACTTATGGGACACGGTAAAAATGGTGGTTAGGTGAACTTTATAGCTAAAACACATTAAAAAACAAGAAAGATCTCAAATCAACAAACTAACTTTACAATTTAAGGAACTAGAGAAAGAAGAACAAACTAAATCCAAAACTAGCAGAAAGAAGGAAATAATAAAGATTAGAGTAAAGATAAATGAAACAGAATAGGAAAAAACAATAGAGAAAATCTATGAAACCAAAAATTTGTTCTTTGAAAAGATCAACAAAATTGACTTATCTTACCTATAATGCAGTACATTCTGTAATTTTCTATTTTAACCTGTTTGGTAAGAAAAAGAATGCTAATCACAAACCTTTGGCTTGATGGACTAAGAAAAAAAAGACTCAAATTGCTAAAATCAGAAATGAAAATGAAGACATTAGTACTGTTTCTACAGAAATAAAAAAAGAACTTTAAGAGAATACTGTAAACTGCATGCCAACAAATTGGATAACCAGATGAAATGGACAAATTCCCATAAACACAAAACCTACCAACACTAAATCACAAAGAAATACAAAATCTGAATAGACCTATAACTAGTAAAAAGATTCAATTGGTAATTAAAAATCTCCCAACAAAGGAAAGCCCTGGACCTGACGACTTCACTGGTGAATTCTAAATATTTAAAGAACTAGCACCAACCCTTCTCCCCATGTAACTTTGTGAAGGCCACTTTGTGAACAGATGACTCTGACAGTCAAATGGCCTTTCTGAAGAAATAGTTTAAGGCCTTTGTCAACATCTCTGCCAGGGGCCCCACATATGCCTGCAAGTCATCTTGAGCCCTGAGCGTGAGCATCCCAGCCTTACAAAAACGAAGATTAAAAGACAAGCAGTGATAAAATTCCTGGTGCTCCCTCTTTGCTGTGTGCAGGTGCAGTTTGGTTGGAGTTCTCCGCCCTCTGTCATCAGCTCTTCTCAGGACAAGTTGAAGCTTCTTTAGAACAAGAACTAGGTTATGTTCATCTTCTTAGGTTATGTCTAGAATCAGAGTAATTCCCCACATAAGAAGCATCTACCATGGGTCTCCTTTCATCCACACAACTACCGGTGAAGTAGGTGATTTTGTTCCCATTTTACAGATGAGGAAACTGAGATGTGACCCTCTTTGTCCCAGTGATAGAGCCTGGACTTGAAGTCAGGTCTGTTGGTCTCCAGAGTCAGCTCTCCGTCTGTACTCTCTACCTGTTCCTGCTTACTCAGTGCTATACACATAGTAGGTATTCAGGAAATCTTTACTGAATGAATATCGAAGAAACAGACTAGAAATGTGGCGACAGTAGAGGTGGCAAGTTTTTCAACAGTAATCCCAATTGGCAGGAATAATGAGTTGACAGAACCACTAGAGGTCAGAATTTAGCAAGTCTTTGTTAGCCCAAGACTGGCTGGCTGTGATAGGCTCTGACCCTGGGAGCTGTCAAGGACCTCACAGGTGCCCCGCTCCTCCCCAGCCTCCCTTGCCATAAATGAGAAAACTGAAGCTTGAAAATACTGACTTGCCCAAAGCCACAAAGGTGTACCGACTCCCAAGCCATGCTTTGCCCAATACCGCGGTGCCTCTTTGGGCCCCTTCCTGGAGCCTAAAACATTTTATCATCTGAAAACTTTCAGTGACTGTGGAGCATGAGAAGCCAGGCCTGGCCCTGCCATGGGGCTTTAAAGTGAAAACTGGGAAAGGCTTGTTTTCAGTAATGCAGTTTGACTTTCACTCAAAGTTACAAATGTATTTTACATCATGATCCAATAAATTATATAATTATAATACATTAAATGTTATAGATAGATCGATAGATATAGATATAAATCACATATATAGAAATAAAGTTTCACAAAATAAGACTTATCCTACCTACAATGCAGTACATTCTGTGGTTTTCTATTTTAGTCTTTCTTAGTCTATTTGGTAAGAAAAAGAAGGCTAATCACAACCCACTAAAGTGATTTCATGATCTTCTAATGGCAACAACTTCAGTGTGCATACCGGTACTCTAAATCATTGCTTTCACTTAGAAAAGAGGTTACTAACTCTGAACTTTCATCACTTTATACCAAATGGTCTTAGTTTTGAGTAGAGGGTAAGAAGGTTTTAGAACACAACCGTCACAGACAAGACTTCTTGGAAGCAGAGGGGAAGGAGAACAGCCCAAAGGTAGCAATCCCTTCTTCACCGTGGCAGTCCCATTCAATCAGGCCTATAGGGAAGAATATGGAGGCTGCTATAAACTGGCTCAGCTGTCCATGTCAAGTGGTCTCCCACCTGGGAGGCTAGGAGTTCAGCATGAATGCATCCACTTCTACATGCAATTGCACTGGCGAAAAAAGATTATCAAGCACTAAAACTATATTCGATTATTGATATTAAATTATTGATTCGGGAGTCCTTGAAGGTTGAAGTGAGTCCCTGAGCAGTGGGTCCATGTCACTATGGTGAAATAACAGGTCTGAGAACAGGGTTTTTTTGTTTTGTTTTTGCTAATAATCTAGACCAGTGCATCTCCCACTTCAGTGTGCATAAGAATTATCTGGAGATCTTAGTAAGATGCAGGTTCTGGTTCAGCAGCTATGGAGAAGGGCTTCCCTATAGAGGGAAAGGACAGAGGAGAGAGAGGAGGGTCTGACAGGTGTGTCCAAGCTTAGACAGCTGCCTTTGTCTTGCAGATACAGAGAAGGGCTGCCACTTCCTGCACATCTTGGCCTGTGCTCGCCTGAGCCTCAGCCATGGCCTGAGTGAGCCTGTGCTGCAGCAGGTGCTGGAGCTGCTGGAGGACCAGAGTAACATCGTCAGCACAATGGAGCAATACTACGTAGCGTTTTGAGGACAGGCCACAGGCAGGTCGGGCAGAAACGGGCCAAGAAGAAAGACCAAGTGGTGTTCACTCCCAGGCTCCGATTTTAAACATCATGCAGAGGCTTATAGATCTGGAGGCAATTATCTCGTAGTTAACTGGGAAATGTGGTCATTGGTCATTTGAGGAATAGAATCTGGTGTAAATTTGGCTTCCTTCTACCTGCTGTATCCTTGGGATAAAATAACTTGTAGCCACAACATACAAGAAAACCTTCCCCGTTGATCTCCTGACTGGACTGGGCATCGTTCATGCAACAGAAGGGGAGGAGACAGTGTTAGTGGCTGAATCGGTGTGTGTGGATGAGGCTTTATCAAAGCACATCCCGTGGTACAACCCACGGACTGCCAGAACTGAAGAGCATACAGCGAGATCGCACAGATCTAACATGTTTTCAAACTTTAGGCTATCAGGAACTTCTTGTGGGCCTGTCTTGATGGTTAAGAATCCAGCATAGGGGACCCCTCTTCCTACAATAGATGACTATTGCTGACCTATGATTTCCAAGGGTCAAGCATCAGTGGTGGTGGGTCATGAGTCCTAGGCTGAATGCTGTTTACACACCTATCCAGAGATGGGAATAAATGGATCCAAGGCATGGCTCTTGGTTGGTCAATTTCTTTATTTTCCTTCTGAATCAAAAGATGTCTCAATACATTTCCCTCAGCACTTGAGGACGTGTGTGACTAAAGACATTGTCCTTTGATGCCCTGAGGTTCCCGGAGGCTTTCAGCCAATTGTCTGGTGGTGGTAGATAGGACTTTTAAGGTTACTACTGAATTTGCAAAACGTTCCTGACACCATCCAGACAGAGACTCTGTATGTGCCCAGACAGGTGATGGAGGCAAGCTTCTCGGAATGACAAGGTAAAGGGAAAAAATCTGAGGCATGTAGCAGCTTGTTCTAATAGCAAGATGACAAATCCAGCCAGCAAAAGTAAAGTGTGGAGAAAGATTTGGAGTTAATTACAGTCATTTCACAAAAGGCACATCTGCCTTCATCTGCAGTATTTGCTCTTGATATAATAAGCTCTTAGTGGCTCGGCTGGAGAGCCTGTCGGTCTGGAGAGTTCTGCTCTCCATGGAAATGGAGCAGGTTTATGCTCAGAAGTTGGCTGTTGCTCTGTATGTCAGGCTGAGGGCTAGTACCGACAGATTGCTTCCTGTCATGGACCTTTTTTCTGACTTGACCCAAACCTCTGCCCTATTTCTAACAGCAATTACCCAGATGGCTACCCTGTGTCCTCTGTGTTCAGAGGTCCCTGTAGAATAGGGTCTACCTGGAATGACATCCCAGTGGTTCTTCCTTAAGGTCAATGACTGATTCATGTTGAAGACATCTCAGATTATTGGAGCTACCCAGGAAAGAGTCTTGAATCAGACTGTTAAAAGGGCATGTACCTTTATGCGCACAGCAACCCCATCTTCTAGAGTTTATCCCAAGGAGATGATCACACACAGGTTTGAAAGTATGAATGCACAAAATTCCTACTGCTATGTCATTTAGAATTCTATAATTGGGGAAAATTAAGTATGGTACATGTACACAATAAAATACTATGCAGCTGTTAAAATGATGGGGCAGACAGATACTGTGGCCATGGAGCACTATTCCCAATAGATTTAGTGGGAAGAAAATCAAGTTACAGATCTGTTTAAATAGTATATTACTGTTGATCTAAAACTGCCTGTGTGTATGTACACGTCTATAAGGAGAGTGTGTTTCTGTACGTACATCCATATAAATGTAGCACATGGATACACTTACACACAGTTGACCACTCCCCCCTCCTCAAAATACTTTCTGCACTTGGCTTTCAGGACACTCCACTCTGAGTGCTCTTTCTCAGTCTCCTTTGCTCTGTCCTCCATTTCCCTGAGGGGGTCTTCCCAGACCACTTTTCTATTAATATCTAGCTTCCTCCCTTGGAGATCTCAACCAGTCTCCTGGCCCTGACCATCTATATGCTGACAGACTCCCCAGTTTATATCCAGCTTGGATGTCTACTGAACGCCAAACCCCTACATTTAACGTCCTGCTGACATCTCCACTTAGGTGTCTGACATCACAAACTTACATATCTAAGGCCAGGCCCCCAATTACCCCTGCCCCAAACTGACTCCTGAAGTTTTCCCTGATTCAGGAAAAAGGCAGCTCCATTTTTCCAGTTGTTCTGGTCAAACCTGATGACTTCTTTCTTTCTCTCACATTCCACGTCCAGTCTGCACACAAATTACCTTGGCTCTACCTTCAGAATAATTTCTAGACTCAAACGCTTCTCACTTCACTGCCACTCCCTGGAGTACTGCCGTCGTCCCCTCACTTCTCCCTGCGTATATGCCTTTGCCCCTCTTCATTCTCCGCACAGCAGCCACGGTGATCCTGTACAAACTTTAGGGCCTGTGATTGCTGTTTGCTCTGCCTGGAATGTCCCTCAGCAGATAACCACATGATGACCTTCCCCATCCCTCCTTTGGACCTTTACTTGAGTGTCACCTTCTCAGTGAGCCTTACCCTGATCTCTTTTGCTAATTGCAACCAACCTCGTCTTCTTCTTCCCCAGAACTCCTCAGAACTTATTTTTCTCCACAGTACTTGTCACTCTGTAACACACTCTGTGTTTCTTACTCGCCCTGTTTATTATCTGTTTCCCCAACAGAAGGAATGTTCCATGAGGGCAGGACTCTGTTTTGTTTCCGCCTGTGTCCCCAGCACCTATAACAGTGCATGGCGCATCTTTCAAGCAATACCATTTTTGTGTGTGCTTCGCTGCCCTCCACCTGCTAATATCTTCCTGTCTTTCCTGGGGACTTTTCTCCAGTATCTTAGAAGGCCATGCAGGCTGGAAGTACTCAGACTTAACAGTCATGGGAGCAGCCTCAGCCAGTGAGACCTGGGGTATAAGTGCTCCAGCTCCTTTGCCCTTCAAATGACCTATCACGTGTTCTACACCATTTCCCAGAGTTTCTCTGTGGGATTAAGCTCCATCCACCCACACTAGCAGCTAACAATAGCCACCCTTAATTGGCTGCCTTACCCTCCCTTACTTCTCCACTTCCCATTACTATATGCTGCACCTCCCAAATGAATTGCTTCCTTTCCGATCCTTGTCTCAGGGTCAACTTCTGCATGAATACCAATAGCACCATGCTCACAAATATATTTGAGAAATGCTGTATGAATAATTATACACATCAAACAAAGATTACTAGAAACACCAAAGTGATAACACTTGTTGCTTCAGAAAGGTGAGATGTCAAATGCTTTTTAACTGTACTTTGATATGTTTACAATTTGCAAGAGTCACAAAAATAATAAAGCTGTTTCTAACTCCCCTCCCCACACTCACATAACCTGAATCATAAGTGAACTAAGAATAAGATGGACCTTATATCACACTGCAGCATAAGAACTACGAGAAGATGAGGGAAGCTCTTGGAAAATTCTCTGGGGCTAACTACAGTTGGGTCATTGCTCGTGTACCCAGGAGCCACCCAAGGGTTCCTCTGAAGAGGGAAATTGAGCACACATTCCATTTCTCAGTGTGCACATGTTTCAGGAGGTGTGAACAGTGCATAGAGTTTACGTAAGCAAGAAGACAAATAGTGCTACTGTCTGGTTAAGGATTTGTTTGAAGATCCATGATTATCCCCATCTGGTAAGTTACCAGTGCTTCTCATCCCTATAAGACACTTCTTTCTAATTATGTTCTCCTCTGATAGTGTGCCAAGACACTGGCTGAGAGAAAACCAAGTGGAAAAAAGTCTGTTCAGTGATGAGGAACCCAAGACTTGATGCCAAGGATTGAAACCAAGCAAACTTGTAATTTTCCATTGGAGAAAACATCCACACTTTATTATTAGTGTGGTTTCTTCTCTACAAGTGGGCTCTACAGCAATTTCCCCAAAGAAGCATCTCGTTGTTTCCTTACTAGATTTATGTGAAGCATATGGGCAAACTCAAAGACCATGAGGACCCTTGCTAGAGAAGCCAGCAGCAAGCACTGGGAGAAACGCGGGGCCATCCTGAAGGGAAATGGTGCCTGTAGACAAAGAACCTTGCAGTAGAGTTGCATGATAGTCCACTGGTGGAGGCTCTAAATGTGAGCCCAAACCCCCACATAAATAAGTTTTTATATAATCCAGATTTTATTTTTAATGCAGCCTGTTTTTATTGAATTTGTATTAGCTAAACCCGAATAGGTAAGTCACAGCACAGCACAGTTCTATGTTCACAAGAATTCTAAGTCAAACCCCAAATTCCTGAAAAGACTCAAAACCCTCCCTGTGTCAAATTAAAATGATAGGCTTTTGTTTTGGAACATGAAGAGAGGAATTTTGAAAACCATATAATAGCCCCAGTTATTTTTAGATAGAGACAGTAAAAGGGTGTCTCATTAATTTGGACCGATTTGGTGAAAGATTCATGTAAATTAGTGGAAAACCTGGATTTGAAATAGTGCCATTTGATTACTTTAGGTCTACCAAGTGTTCTGTATTATATCTGAATTACCGTGAGGAAACAAGTTTGCTGCTCTTAGGGAACCTGCTGTAAGGAATAAGAACTATCTTAATTATATATCTTTTTTATTATTCAATATCATTTATTATGTATCATTTAATATTAATAGGTGATTTAAAAGGACTTGAACTTTAAGAAATTTGAAAACATACGCCCATTGTGCATGAATGTACACAGCAGTATTATTCCTAATTCAACAAAAAGTGGAAACAACCCATGTGTCTATCAGCTGGTGGATGGATAAACAAATACAGTATAGCCATACAATGGAAGATTATTCAGCCATAAAAAGGAATGAAGCGCTGATACATGGTACAGCATGGATGAACCTTGAAAACAGTATGCTAAGTGAAAGAAACCAGACACAAGAGGCTACACGTTGTATGGTTCCATTTATATGAAATGTCTAGAATAGGCAAATCCATAGAGACAAAAAAAAACCCCAGATTAGTGGTTGCCAGGGCAGGGAGAAGAAGGGGAGTGAGTGGTATAGGGTTTCTTTTCGGGGTGACAGAAATGTGGAATTAGAGAGTGGTGATGTTTGCACAACTCTGAATATACTCAAAACCATTGAACCGTGGGTTAGGTTGGAGTCCCTCAAAGCATGGCGGCCAGGTTCCAAGGGCAGGCATCCCAAGAGAGCACAGCCCAGACAGAAGCTGTATGGCCGTTTTGTGCATAGCCTCAGAAGCCATACAGCGTCACTTCCACGCATTCTCATTGTTGAGGCTGTCACAGAATTCACCCAAGTTCCAGAGGAAGGGAATAAACCACCTCCAGACAGGGAGTAACAAGGTTCTAGAAGGGCATGTACAACTGGCAATCTTGCTTTGGCCATTTTTGGGGAAATACAACCACTCACAGACATCTTCAACTTTTATGTACATATGGCCTCAGTCTCTAAAAAAAAAATGTTTTTACTATCAAAAAGTATAAAGGGGGGGGGCGGAGGAATTGTCTACCACTTCCTAGGTACTCTGTATTTTTTTTATATTATATGTATATTGTTAGGAAAATAATATTTTGTCCTTCCAGAAAAAATAGATGCCAGCATTTTATATGCACGTTGCTTTTGTATTTAATATCTCTTAAAGTTATTGTTTTTTTTTTATTTCAGCATGCAAGATTGACCACATTCTTTTTGTTTTTTTTAAGCTGAGCCATCCTGCCACCTGTTGGCAGCCCAGCGGCTGCTCAGCTCGGGCCAGGCATCGAACCGCTGTTGCTCACTTAACCAACTGAGCCACTCGGCCAGCCCGCTGACCACATTCTTTTAAATGGTCACATAACTCCATTGTATGGCTGTCCCTTAATGTTTTTGACCAGACCCCTATTGAGAAACATTTACTTGATTTCCAGATTTTTGCTGCTGCAACCAATTGTGCAGGAAACATCCCTGTACACTTTTCTTTCTCGGCATCCATCTGCAGGTATATTTATATGGTGGATTTTTAGCAGTGCAACTGCCAGGAGGAAGCGTGAGCATTTAAAAATTTGAATAGACTGACAAATTACCCACTGAAAAGACTGATCCACTTATACTCCTATCAATGATTTATACATCCACTGTTTGCCCACAAGCTTACCCACACTTGGTATTATCAAGGGTTTTAATCGACGCCCGTCTGGATAGTTAAAAATGACTTCTGGGTTTTGTTTGCATTTCTATCTCTTTAGGTATGAATGGTTTTGAGCATCAGTTCATTGTGGGCAACTTTTAGACAGATGCGGTTCTACCCTGGACATTAGCCATTGTTGCCAGTAGGGGTGGAGGACAGCCCGGGTCATATGTTCTAGCAGTGGTATCAGCTGCAGGACCAGCCCAGAGGTTGGCCACTGAGGTCCTACTTGATACACAGCTGGAATAAACATCCTCAAGAACTCAAACCTCTAGGTTCCCATTTGCTACTTCAAGTGCTTGGTCACTTGCCTGCCCCAATATTATGTATAGCAATACATAAAGGCAGCAATCTTTTAAAAACCAGTCACCATCCATCGTCGACTCAGATCTCTCATAAACCAGATGCCATTCAGCTCTAGTTCAGTGACTGTCCCCAGTCAAATTAATGTGAAAAAACGAAGGTTGTTTTTAGAAAGTGCTAAGTAAGTGGAGAAGATCATTTTAGTAATAGAAATGGCCTTAATGCTGCTCCCACTTGAATCAGCATAGCCTAATTATAATAGGGCAATGCTTGCGTTCTCATCATTGACTGGGCAGGTACAGTTAATTGGGGCACTGGGCAACACCCCTTTTGATAATCTTCTTGGCTAAAAATTGCTTCTGGGAGAAGGGTTTTTATTTGTTTGTTCTGAAGACAATCAGTGAATGGAAGAAATAAAGTAGGAGTGAGAACAAAGTATCCTTCCATTTTTTTTAGCTCATTTAGAGCTACCATCTACTTGCGAGCAAAGCAACGGTGCTATCTGTTTCACATGCTGTGATGTGTGGCACAATTAACTTGCGACAAGTACTGAATTTTGTGATGTACGGATTTGTGAACGATTAGTTTATTCAATTATAAATTAGGTGGCCGGATAATATATTGAGCTACTAGCATGAGGTTTGTTTTTCTTGTATTTTATTTCTTCTTTCTGAGCAGGAAGTCAACCTTGCCTCAGGGAGGTTGGGTTTGGGGGATGAACACAGAAGTTGTTTGTGCAGACAAGCTGGCCTATGCTTTCTGGAAGCCTGGAGCCTGGGAGGGAATGGAGATTAGTGGACTCCCGGCACTGAAGGCCAGAATGTGGTCCCTATGGTGCCTGGGGCAGGTGGCAGGTTGGCAGGACTTCTGTGGATAGGCTTTGCAGTGTCTCTTGAATGGCTTAGAACCTAGGCCTAGGATTCCCACCTTCAGTCCAGATTCCCAAGCTTGGAACGGAAGCTGCCGCAAGCCTCCTTCTCTGAAGGGACAAACTGGGGATATCAGCAGAAGACTTGGGCTCAGGAGAAAAGTAGATTTGTCCCCATTTTCCAGGCACCACATAACCTCCTGGTGCCAGTTTCTGGTACTGGGCGTATGTGTGTGTGAATCACATCCCCAGAGAAGGGGAGGGCCTGCCCCACCCCACTACCACTAATATTATTATCCTGCCAGCCCAGAGGATGAGGTCTTCAAGCACAAGGTAACTTGAAATGAAAAAAAACAACCAAATATGACAAGTTTCTCCCACCTGAGTTTTGGGAGTAAGATTCATATCGCACTACAATTAGAATAAATTCAAGGTGAATCTTAGAACAAGGTCATGTTGCATTCCAGAATGGTCTCTTGAATAGGAAAGACCATCACAGAAGCTTCCAGGGAAACTGCTTATGACCCTCCCAAGAAAGTGTGCTGCCTACGAAAACCACCTATCCTGCGTCACTGCAGAAACAATTGGAAATCACCACCTCCAAGGATGAGGGAGAGAAATATGATAAGAATTTTTTATGTTTCCTTAATGGGGTACACCTTATCATGAACTGAAAATATCACCCTATCCTGCAACCATCGTACATCCTGACCAGCCAGAGGCAACCGTGAACACAGACAGATGAGCAAATATAACCTAACTTAGGAGAGGGCCCCAAACCACCTGAGCAATGAGCCTTCTCCCAACATGAAGAAGCTTGAAAAGGCCTTACTCAGCCAGCAGCCAGCCCAGCCCAGCCCAGCGCCTGGGGAAGTTAGCAAGCTGCCCGTCCTGTGGTTTCTGTCCAGTCCCGACTTGCCTTGACCTGGTAGAGGGCAAGGGATGGAAATCCCGCTCCTGGGAATGACAGCTGGCCTGGGAATGCTGGTGTCAGCACTATGGGGGCTGGGCAGGCAGCGCAGGCAGACACCCTGTTCGGACGAGCCCAGGAACATGGAGTGATCTGCTATTTCTGTCCATTTGTTGTAGACCCAGGTAACCAGGAAAAATGGGAGGTGGGCCGGCTCTGAACCCATAGCTGAGTTCTGGTTATGTTTCCACAGGCCTGGAGACGTAACTGGATGTGTTTCCTCAGAGGTTGCCCACATCACAGTTCACCTGGAAGTCTGTGACAGACCCAGCAGTAGGCACAGGGTGATGCCTAATAACTGTTTCATTGGAACAGCAGTGTACTTATTGAGTGCCTACTGTTTGCAAGGCATCATGCCAGGTGTGGAGGGGGATGATAAGACCAAGCACCACGCCTGTCTTCAGGGAACTTTCAGTCAAATGGGTCATAAGCACATGCCTACATGATTTATAACCCATGGATGGAAATGTGTCTTGTTTGACCCTCAGAGTTTTAAAATTTTATGCCAACATAAAAAAAAATGGCTACCATCTGTATAACAAAAAGGTACTGGGCGTATGTGTGTGTGAATGTGTCTGTCTGTGCCTGAAAGGCTACAGAAGAAACTGGCAACGGGTGGCCTCTTCAGTGAGGGACTTGTGGCCAGGAATGGGTGGGAGATGTATTGCAATGTTTTATAATTTTTTAATGTGTAAAATGTAATAACTCTAAAAATAAACAGGAAGGGATGTGGGAATTCACATATAAATCCAGATTTCTGGCTTTTCTTGACAACTCAGAATTCTGGCAGTACTGGAAACGTTTAGTCTGGAAACATTGTGTGGCTGGGGGGAGGGGCGGCATTAAAGGATTTTAAACTGCGAGCTGGCATCAGGTTTCCATTTTGGAAAGGCTTTTTTGGCAGCAGAGTGGAGGAGCACTGCATGAGGGCAGGCTCGGGCAGGTCATCTGCTGCAGGAGCCTGGGGAAGGGGAAGGGCAGTGAGGGCCTCCGCTATGACAGGGTCAGGAAGACAGATGTCAGAGAGACGTTCATGAAATAGCACTGAGAGGTGGGTAACCGATGTAGAGGTGAAGGAGTGTGGGAAGGGCCAGGGTCACGCCCAGCTTCTGCTCGACAGACCACTGTACGTGCCACAGAAGTTTTAGACTAGTGGAAGGGAAAGGGGGTTCAGGAAGATGTGTGGGCCTTCTGAACTGGAGACAGCAGAAATGCTGAAAGAGTGCATCTCCTGAAATGCAAGGAAAGGCCCTCTGGGGGTAATTAGTTCCTCT